GGCCAGTCTAGGGTGACAAATGTCTTACCTTAAACAAGTCGACACCTGAAAAACGTCATGACAGGCAGATCAGTCATATCAAGCATGGTTATAACGACTCACATAGAGATTAACTCCACTGTAAAATTTACGGAATACATATACTATACTTTTGATACACGTACGAGCTATTCATTCTATAACATTCAGGTCTTATGGTTTAAAGACTACAACTCATTTACAGTCAGATAATATCGGATTTTCTGGGAAAATACATTGTACATTACATATTACTTACAATAGAAAACATGGGATTTTTTTTGGGATACTCTCTTTATACATTTTCAAAACAGAAACACACATGCCTTAATATAAGATTTGATGAAAAACTTTCAAACCATTTTGACAGAAAATATCGGATTTTCTTGTGTTTACAAAGTGATACAAAACTTTTCATACAAACGTGCTTATGAACTCACCAACATTATATATGTTGAAGTTTTCAAAATTACTTGTATTCTCAGGGAATCGTTAAGCGGGCTGGTCACCAAGAACACATGGATTTTGTTGTATTTTTGCTATCATCATACACTTACTATTTTTGGAATGTAATTTGTAATCCAACACACTTATGTAAACAATGATGGTTGTAATATTGTATGTATGATGATGATGTTGTCTTGATTCAATTATTTACATTGTGATGATATTACAAGATGAAGTCACCCAACCCCCGGACGTTTCCGCCGTTCCGGTTCAGGGGTGTGACAATTTATGTATATCCATGTATCTCTTTAAATTCTTTGAGGTTGTAAACTGTAAGTTCTAGTTCTATAAATGATAAGCCTCTCCACCTAATTGGGTGTGATGAGTATCATTATCATGGTATCAAGAGCAAATTAATCCAACCCTTTTCTCTTCCCCTCCCATGATGTTTTCTCTTTCTTTCCCTTCTTCTTTGTTTTCCTGCAACTCTTCCCTTCCCTTGTCTTCTTCTTCTTCTTTTTCTTCCTATTATGATACTACCCTACCCATGAATACAATTCTTCATCTTATCACTAACATATTATCATCTTCCAATTATCTCATATGGAAGAATCAAATGATTCATTTCCTTACTTATCATAATCTGTTAGGGCATGTTGATGGGACCTTTCATGCACCTAATCCGGAGGTTCTCATCGCTAAAAATCATTTTCCGCATCTAGATTTTACTGCATGGATCTTTGCTGATCAGCGGGCGATTATTTTCCTTCTAGCATCGTTGACTGAGAAAGCCTTTTCTGAAAGTGTTGGCTTATCGACAACTTAACAGATTTGGGTCACTCTTGCGGAGGCTTATAGCCATTCATCTGTAGAAAGAATTCAGATTCTATGTGATCAAATGTGCCAACTCTCCAAGGGAACATCCACTGTTGCTGAGTTTGGCTGGAAAATCAAAATTATTTGTGATCAACTTTCTGTTGTTGGTCATCTCGTCGATGAATCAGACAAAACCCACTAGTTTTTGTGTGGCCTTGGTCTAGATTTCGAGACTTTTTCCACCGCAATTCATGCCTCCCGGTCACTCACCACTCTCTAAGATCTTCTTGCCTAAGCCGAGGCTCATGAGTTATTTTTGTGATCCTTGCATGAGACTTCTTCCTCACCAACGGCTTTTTCTGCTAACTCGTTTCCACCTATGTCTCGTGGTGGTCATTCATTTAAAGGTGGTCGTGGTCGTGGGCGTTGTCCTCCCCATTTTCAATTATGTCGAACCAATGGCCACTATACTAGTGCATGCCCACATCTCTCCTCGTATATCTCTCATAAATGCGGTTCAAATGTTGATTTAGAGAAAGCCTTTCATGCTCAGTGTCATGTAATGTTCAATGACCCCGATTAGTTTGTTGACTCTAGTGCAACCGACCATATGGATTCTTCCCCAGCATCCGTATCTCAACGTATGCCTTATACTCGAAAATCTAAGGTTTCCTTTGCCAGTGGTAATGTTCTCCCTATTTCTCATATTTGCCAGTCTATGATTCACAATAATATTAAATTGCGAGATGTTCTGGTAGTCCCCACGATCACCAAAAATTTATTTTCCATTAGTAAATTGACTATTGATAATAACATGGATGTTTTGTTTTCCCAACATTATTTTTATATCCAGGATTGGGCAACGAAACAGGTTCTAGCAAGGAGGTGATGTGAGAAATGATTTTATGCTCTCTCAAACAAATCGGAGGCATTTACAGTCGTTGCATATTCGGAGTTAAAATCCTCGTATGAGCTTTGGTATTCCTGCTTGGGTCACATTTCTTCTGATAATATTTCTCTTTTGAATAAGTTAAGTCTCGTTTTGGTGACATATTTATTATCGTCACCCGTTGTTTGTATGCCCTATCAGGTTGCTAAGGAGCATCATTTACCTTTTTAACCTAATGAAAAATGTGCTTTACATGTGTTGGACTTGATTATTGTGATTTATGCGGCCATCCCCGATTACTTCGGTTGATGGTTATTGTTATTATGTTATTTTTGTGGATGATTTTTCTCGTTTTATGTGGTTTCCACTAGAAACCAAGTGTGGTTTCCATGTGGTGCTTGGGGCCTTCATTAAGTTTTTTCAAACATAATTGTCATTTAAAATTAAAGTCTTCCAAAGTGAAGGGGGCACAAAGTTTTTGAATCACAATGTACGACGTTTGCTTGATGAAAATGGTACTCTTCATCGTATTTCATGTACTTATATTGCCCAACAAAATGGTAGGGTGGTTTGAAAGCACCGTCATATTTTCGAAATTGGCCTTTCCATGTTATTTAATGGGCATGTCCCGACTTCTTATTGGGTTCATGCTTTGCGCTCAGCTGTTCATATTATCAACTGGCTTCCCACTCAGGTATTAAATAATAAATCGTTATTCAAGGTCTTGTTTCTTCGGGCTCTTTCTTATGATCATTTTTTCACATTTGGGTGTCAAGTCTACGTTTACTTAAGGGACTATGCAGATAACAAATTATCACCATGAAGCCTTCCTTGCATATTTCTTGGCTATTGTGCCCAGTATAAATGAATGTCTTGAGCCTAGCTCCTCTCGAGTTTTCATTACCCGACATGCCATGTTTGATTAGCTTTTCTTTCCATGTGGTGGAACTTCAACTTAGGCCTCTATTCATGACCTTCATCTAGTTTCCTTTTTGGACATGCACCATCTTTTCGTCCGCCATTGGCTCAAGATCCAAGCCCACCTCTACAGCTGACTGCTCCATCCACTAGATGTGGACTTTGCGATGATCCAGTTCTAGTCGTCGAGGATCAGTTCCTAGAACATTCCCAATCATCCGAATAGGCCACCTCGACCGAACAAGCCCAATCATCGGTGCAAGTCCATTCACCTGATCCGATCTAGTCACTCATCGATGCTTCGTCGCCTGTCTCACCAGCTAGTCCGCCTCCTGCTGATGCAACCGAACTGGATTCATCCACTGCCGCTCCTTCACGTGTACCTCATGTTGGCCATTCCATGGTTACACGAGCCAAAGTCGGGATCTTTAAATCGAAGCATCGAGTAGATATTGCTCACACTACTAAACATGGTTTATATAGTGCCCTATTTGCTCAACGTGGCCCGACCGCTTTTTCTTCTGCTGCTTCGCAATCTCATTGGACGGATGCTATGAACGTTGAGTTGCATGCCCTATGGAAAAATTATACTTGTTCGTTGGTTCCCAGAACCATGTATCACAATGTCGTCGATTGTAAGTGGGTGTTTCGAACTAAATACCATTCTGATGGCACTATTGATCGTCATAAATCCTGTTTAGTTGCACAAGGTTTTAGTCAACTTCCGGGTGTTGATTACTCGCATACTTTTAGTCCGGTGGTGAAAGCATCCACGGTGTGTATTTTTTTGTCTTTAGTTATCATTAATGGTTGGTATCTTCACCAACTTGACATCAATAACGCCTTTCTTCATGGCACCCTCAATGATCATGTTTACATGGAGCAACCGCCGGGTTTTCATGATCCTCATTTTCCCGGTCATGTATGTCGCCTTCATAAAGCTCTTTATGGTCTCAAACAGGCCCATGGGCTTGGTTTCATCACCTAAGCACCTTTTTGGTTAGTATCGGGTTTCTATGCAGTCGGGTTGATCCATCCTTATTTTTGTCCAAACATGACTCGTTTGTGCTATATTTATTGGTTTATGTTGACGATTTAATTTTAACCATCAATGATGACACGGTTACAAGCTCCATCATCACTAACTTTCACAACGAATTCACGATCAAAGACCTCGATCATTTAAACTATTTTCTTAGGATTAAAGCTACTTACACTCCCGATGGTCTATTTCTCTATCAGACCAAGTACGCTCATGACATTATTGCTGAGGGCGGTCTTCTTGATGGTAAACTGGTTCCTATAATATCCTCTAACATGGCATTTGTTACCAGTGGTGATGCTTACTCGGATCCCTCGCATTATCGGTCCCTTGTTGGTGCTTTTCAATATTTGACGATCACTCGTCCGCATATTTCGTTTGCAGTCAATCAAGTTAGCCAATTCCTTCAAGCTCCTACCTACTATTTCGCATTATCAAGCAGTTAAGCGACTTTTGCGATATGTCAAGGGTACGATTTCTTTGGGAATCTGCTTTTCAAAACCGGCATATACCACTCTTGTATGTTACTCTGATGCTGATTGGGCTCGTTGCCTCGACGCACACTGTTCCACTTATGGTTATTTCTTTATATAATAATAATTTTAACGAATGTAAATTACATGTTAAAATTATTACAAAGATTGCCTTGAGATTAATATTTTCGATGTATAATTTTAGTTAATAACCAATTTTATAGGTGGGATACAAGCATACAAAATGGTGAAGGTGGTGTCTCTTCAGTCAAAATCAGTTTCCCATGAATTCTTCGTGTTAACAGGAGCCCAATATCTTTGTTATATAATCTCCTTTTGCTTTTCCAATTTCCAACATTCGAGTTCAACAAAACCTCTTTCCTTTTCATTCTCGATCATGGCTACTGCTCCACACGGTTCATCGTTAACTCCTTCACCTCCACCGGCCGTCACTGAACATTATCTCGCCAGCAAACATGTAATTGTCTCCTGAGTATACATTGTGGCTGCTCTTTTTGTTGAATTTATGTAGTTGATTAGCTTACTGATAATATATAACTAATTGAATCACCTTTTCTATTTAAACAATCTTGAATGCGAACATTGTCAATAGAATATTTTTATTAGTTTTAATTGCGATCTTTTATGTTATTTGTTAAATGGTTAACATATGATCGTTGTATTTAGGTGAACACTATCCATCAAGACGCTAGTGTGGTAACACCAAGTGAAAGGGGGCCACAACCAAAAGACGAGGCATTTATGAATCAAGAAGCGAATTCTCAATTATCAATAAAGGCAAATTTTGAACAATTGTTTCGTTACATGAAGCAAATCTGCAAAATTATAGAGAAGAAAATGGAGTTAATCCGACCACACAGGTGTTCATACAAGACTTTTCTTAGTTGCCAACCACCAGAGTTCTCAGGGAGCACAAAGCCGACCACGATCTTGAACTGGATTACTGAGATGGAGATGGCATTTGATTGTTGCGAGTGTGAAGAGGAAAGAAAGGTGAAGTTTGCGGTTCGTATGCTCAAAAGGAAGGCGTGGTCATGGTGGAACTTGACCCGAGTGTTGTTGGGTAATGAAATTGTGTCCCATCTCACGTGGAACGACTTTGTTGGGAAGATAAAGAAACAATATTGCTCGGTGAGGGATTTTATTAAGATGGAAAATGAGTTTCTCACATTGAAAAAGGGAAACATGAGTGTTGATGAGTACGTGTGTTTGTTTGTTGAGAAATTGCAGTACGAAAGATTGTGTGGACCTCTTTGTGGCGGGGTTGCCACTTGAATACTTGATGGCATCAAGAACATCAACAACTTTGGATTTGGCCATTTGTGCAGCTAAGAGTGTAGAGGAAAATGAGAATAGGGAGGGGAAAGATGTTGGAGAAAAGAGGAAGTGGGGAGGGTCGACATCGGGGTCCTTAAAGAAGCCAAAGGGGGAGGCTAGATTTTGCTATCATTGTGGGAAGGCAGGACATGTGGCTCGAGAGTGCCCAGAGAATGTGGTGATTTGTTTTGAGTGTGGAGACAAAGGACACATCACCACTTTTTGTCCGAAGAGAGAAAGAGATTGAGAGTCTAGTTGGGCACCTAAGAATAAGAACGAGGAGATGCTCATAGCTATTAGAATAACAAACTAAACTCTTTGTGTGTTGTCTAGAGTATGTTTTTAATATCTATTATCCATGTTCTTTTTCTAGGAACTAACTAGGGGTTGCAACCTCACAACATGACGTAGAGGGAACTATCACATGATTTAGAGGTAACTAAAACCTGTAAAATATTAAATGGAAATATTAGGAGTATATCTTTGTTAATTTGTTTACTATAGCAATTAGAATCATATTTCCATTTCTTCTTATTACTTCGAAAAATCTACCCATTTTTGTTAATGTCACACAAAAACTATACATCAATTGAGTATAGATTTTAAAGTATAATGTCCTTACAGGAAAAAAAATTGTTGTGTGTGTATATGCGTGTTTGTGTCATTATAAAAATAAAAAAAAATGTTGTGTGTATGTGCGCGTTTGTGTCATTATCAAATAAGAACGTAAATAACCTCGAAAACATAAGAAATTTTGTTCCTATTTTTTAAGGCAACAACATCAAAAAATTACATCGATCTCATATAAGAGATTTGTAAAAAATAATTGAAAAACGACTATTTTTCGTGTGTGTGTGCGTGTCTATATATATATATATATATATATATATATATATATATATATATATATATATATATATATTCACAATATTATAAAAAAAATAATAATAATTTTATGATTTTTTTTATTAATCCATAAGAAATACTAAAGAAGTTTATGTAAATTAATAAAACTATCATAGACCCATGTTTTCACATTCGGTTGATATATAAATCAAATGTCACACTATCGTTCCAAGAATACATTGATCTATCTATATTTTTCCATGTTACTTATTTATTAATTGTTGTTTGTTAACCTCTTAGTGAAACTATTCAAATATCATATCTGAATCGGTCAACTTTCAGTGTCTTTGGTTCAATCTGTAACTACCTTTGAACTGTTAAGCAATCTTAACTTTTCACAACTATTAAGAAGTCGGAAACAGTCGGTTCAACATTCAACGAGATTTATCAAACAACCCCCAAATGTGTGTTTTTTTTATATGCTATTTTTTTAGTATCCTTTATTTTTTCAAGTTCCAACTTAGGTTAATACATAGGAGGGTAACGAGCTTTAAGTTTTATACATATTTTACTAGTGAACCTATATTTTGTATACGATATTACGATTTATCAATAATCTTTTAATTTTGTACATCCATTACTAAAAATCTCTAATTTTGTATCCAATTATAAATAATCTTTTGATTTATTTTTCAAAAATACCACTGAATTTTTTGTATACATTTATGTGGTTACCAGTCGACCTGCCTTGCCATGTGGCTGCTGACTTGAATTTGAACTCAACTCAAGAAGCAAAGGCACCGGGTTTACCACAAAGTTGGGGCGTTATTTCATAATTAAGCATTTACCAGTATTATTTAATGTATACATTCTAGGGAAACCTAAAAAATGGGATGCAAAAGTCAAACCCAATACCTCCTTCTAACTAAGACCACCCAAATCGCTAACTTTCAATGCATTTGCAATGTCACGTTTCCACTATTTCCAAGCCAAGTAGGATGAGTTCTTTCTAAAATTGAAAGTCTCGCAAGTCTTATCTCTCTATATTTTAATATTATATTTATATCACTAATAATATACTATATATTTTAAGCTTATGATTATATTTTTATTTATAAATAATGTAACAACGAGATATATAAAACTATATTTATATTAACTCTAATGAATATTATATTATAATTTTATGGTATTATCAAGACTTAAAACATAAACAATTATTATATAATATATTTTGTTAATAAAATAACAAACTGATACATTAATATTTAAATTATAAGAGATTTTAATAAATATATTTGAAATAGTTGATGATGTATGGGTGGGACCATTTTGTTAGGAATGAGTATTGTATTGATGTAGAGGTTTATTGCACTGATGTGGTTGACCTAAATAAATAGTTTACCATTATGCAAACCACCGCATACTCATAGTTATAACCCTAATCACTTACAAATTCTTATTTATGTGGCGTCGATGCAACCATTGATCATAATAGATGGTAACCACTTGAAATTAAGATATTTTGATATCATGTACTTAAGTTTCAACATGGATGATAAAACTAAGTCTTACAGGGTTGCCTAAGATGGAGTGAGCATGACTGGGGACTCTTGGAAATAATTTTTTTTAACAAGATTTGAATGAATGCTTCTGTAATGTGGAATATTTAGGCTAGAGGGAGTGGTAACACTCTTAGCATGTTGTCACGTAGGTTTTCTTTATTTTTTTTTATGTCACGTAATCTTAGCATGTCTAGCACAAAAAGGTAGGGAGTGGTAGCAAGTCAATTTAATAGGTTTGATTTTAGGAGAAAAAAATAATAAATAAATAAATAAATAGCATCAGCCAATCAAAATACTCATTTTCACTTTCTCTCACCTCTCTCCTCTCGCTACCAGCTTAGCACCTCATTCTTAACAACTTGCTTAACACCTCCACGGGTCTGGTGAGTTATATTCTTATATGTTTTCATGTTTCATCTACTTTTTCTTTCTTATCTCTTCCTTCTCTTACTCTGCAATCTAATTTCTTTCTCTAATAACATACACTGTTATTCTTTCTTCTTTCATCTATCTCTTCTACTCTTCTTTTCATATTTATTTTGTACTCTTTCTCATCTCATCTATCTCTTTCTTTTTCATCTACTCTAGTCACCATACTCTTTTTTCTTAACCTCTTCTCAGGCACTTCTCATACTCTACTCATATTCTTTCTTAGCCTCTTCTTAGGCTCTTCTCATACTCTGTACATACTTTATTTCTGTCTCTGCCTCTATCTCTTCTCTACTTTTCTCTTCATATTTCTATCTCTCTTCATACTCTATCTTATCTCATCTTTCCCTACTCTTCTTTATGATATATGCATGCTCTTCTTTGTCTCTTACTCTGCTCTTCTCATAGCTCAAACTTTTAGCATGCCTTTTCATACTCTTCTTACTCTTCATCTCTCTCTCTCTATTCTCAACTCTAATGCCATAACATTCTTTTCTCATCTAGAACCAAAGGTCACATCTCATACTCTAATCTTGTCTATCCTCTAAGGGAAACAACATCCTATTTCATTGTCGGGTGAACACATCCGGACTTACTCTTCTCTCTTATGATCCCTCGTGGATCCTAAATCCTTCTTCTTCTCTTGAATCCCTCATAGATTCCTTACTCTTAATACCTCGTGGATTTCATCTAAGTTTTTAAAAGAACTCTATTGCCTTGTTCCACTTATGGAACCTTTCTCTACATTCTTTAATCATACATAATTTGGACTCCCACATGAAGCATCTATCTACATCCCCAAAAGGGATCCTCATATCTTTTCCCCGCACGAACATAATCTCATTCCTATAGGAATCATACTCTTATTCCCGTAGGAACCATGTTCTTGTTCCCATAGGAACCATGCTCTTTTTCCCGTAGGAAAAATACCCTTGTCCCCGAAGGAACCATACTCTTGTCCCTGAAGGAACGTGTGTCTCATTCCTGAAGGAATCATCTTTCTAGCATCTCTGTCTCTGTTATGTAACTCATCACATTATACTATTCCTATGGACATTTTATCGTTTTATCTCATCAAGAGATCTTCTAATACACATCTAGTACTTAACTCATTAAGTACTTAATCTCTATCTACGTCTAGTAATATATAGGCATTCTACACAATACCTTAATATCTAGACATACATAAATACTCTTATGATTATATGGCATATCTTAGGTATAAAAGGATACATTTCTCATCATTTACTCGTATATACATACTCTAAGTATAGCTACATGCTCTGTTATATGTTTCTAATATATACCTCATTATATATACTCTCAATATATGTGCATTCTCAACTACATGTTCTCATACATATATTCTTAATCTTTCTTCATCTAACTACTTGAAGGATTTCATTTAGTGACTCAAGGGCATCTTACATACATATATATATATATATATATATATATATATATATATATATATATATATATATATAATTAAATATATAACAACACAGAGATAGAGAGAGAGAGAGAGTGTGTGTGTGTGTGGTGTAGAAGAGAGAGAGAGAGAGAGGGAGAGAGAGAGAGAGAGAGAGAGAGAGAGAGATTGTAACTCACTTTATCAGTTAGTGAAGACTAACTGTCCCACTTTCTTCAATTCTGTCATTGATGCATTCTTGATCTATCTTCTTTGCTCTTAGGCCTATATATATATATATATATATATATATATATATATATATATATATATATATATATATATATATATATATATATATATATATAAAGAGAGAGAGAGAGAGGTTCAAATGTGGATTGGCAATTATTGTGTGGATGTTGGGATTAATGATAACCAATCATTTCGAAAACCTACAAAATGGTAATTTGGTAATCTTAAAAATAATTATTTATGGTAAATTGTTAAAGTAATTAATATCCTTTTAAAATAGGAAATGATTATTAATTCTCATCTAATTCATCTTCATCAAAAAGCTAGTAGAAATAGACCCAAACAATTCGATTCACCCCCAAATGCCACCACTGTCGTTTCTCTCTTTCCCCTATCATCTTCCACGACAAGATCATCTTTCAGCTTTCTTCTCTTCTGGTTCGATTTCTTCATATGTACCAAAGCACCTTGGACAGGTGATACCTCTACCCTAATCACCGATCACCTATTATTTGTTGCTTTTTTTTTATTTTGCCTCGAACAGATTGCAATTAGGGTTATCAACTTGGATGAGAACCAACGGTGTCTCCGACAAAATTGATTTGTCAAACTTTCTTCTTTTCCTTTTCTCCTCCTTTAAATTTGTATTGCTAGTTGTTTATTATTTTTATTCAAGAAGAAATCAATGGCAATGAAGTTCCACCCACCTTATCTCATGCTTCGGTTATGGTCACAGACCACAGA